AGCCAGCTCTCATCTTAACTCTGATCCTTTAAAGAATGCCTACTTCTTATACAGCCAAAGACCCAAGGAATGTAGATGTTATTACCATGATTGCCCACCCAGACAAGGTCACTTTATGTTTCTTACCTACTCAGCTTCATTGAACCAGTAGTCAGACATAATGTCATCACTTCTAATGAGGCAGTAAGATGTGTGCCAAGTACAAAATGCTTGAACTATCTAGCATGCACAGACAAATGGCTAACAACCAGACCGGCCCTGTAGACTGTCATTAACCTGATGAACATTATTACCTGTAAAAGCCTTCATCTAATCATGCATACCCTGCCATAGTTAACCTCATGAAAAATTAACTCAGCACACCATTACAAAACCACTTTGGCATTCCATTTCATTGTTTTCATTGCCTTTGCATTGTATTCCTCTGTCAGAAAGAACAGCTAGACCTGGTATACATCAGTATTCCACTGACATTATTATGGAGTAATATTAACCAATCATGAAGTTGCATGACCATTCCAATGATCTCAGTCGTTGTCTTTTAACCATATTATTGCTATCATATCAATTCTGTGGCAATATTTCTTTTCCAAAAAGAACAAAGCCCCTCCACTTACATGTATTAGCTATTTAGCAGCAGACAGAAAAGAGAGCACACCAGTATTGATTTTGGTATTAGGACGAGATAAAATGATGACTCACACATGCAATGTTTAAAAGGAGTCCCAGTCTTTAGGGCAAATTTATATGAATGGTAATAAAAGTCCTATTGAACAGCCCAGCAACTGTCAGTCTTACAAACTTGTGAAATGTTCGTCAATCTCTTCTTCTATTGGGCTTGTCTCCCACACTTCACTTGAGCTAGCTCAAACAAATCAGGAGGAAGTTCAACAACCATCTATGGGAAGGGTTATACAATTAATGCTTCCTTATTAGGTCATACACTGAATTCACTTTGCTCCACTGGTTGGGAGTTGTAAGCAACCTCATTTATTTTTCCTGTATCAGAAAATCAAGACATGGGGTTTGGTCTCCAGGTGGCAATGCATAGTTAACCATTTACCACACACCCTGAGACCATACATACATACATACTACCTGTGCAAGTCAAGGGTGTTACTCCAGAGCTAGTGATATTTACTACACAACCCTCATAACCTTACAAAATTCTACTCATTGTTAACAGTTCAAATGGAAAATACAGCTAACGGCTGCAAGCACATTAAGCACACTAGAACTACTTCACCTTATGGCATCTAATTCAATACCAGGTATTCTATCAGAATTTCATATGGTATCCGTTTGCAGTATTAAACTGTACAATTAAGCATGAGACCGACATGGATGTTTACAAAAAACTTAAACTAAATGATTCCATCTGGAACTTCTCTATAACATTTAAGTTTCTAAATAAGGTCTGTATTTACTGGCTTACCTGTTCAGATTAGCACTACCTTGCTAGGTACTTCACATACCTATACACCTATACACAGACTTTCAACCTACTGCTCTTACCTATCCAGCTGACACAACTTTGAATCTCATGTGTGCAACACATAAGATGCAGGCAGCTTATAAAACTTACAAGATTTCTGGAACATACACTCAAGATCAACAGTCCTTGTGAATAAATCTTAAAAACTGGATTCTAATTTCCAAATAGTGAGACCAAGTATGCTGCATTCCTCTTTTAAACTTTATGTCAAAATCTAACACATAAATTTCTGATAATGACAGATTGAACACCTGGACCCACTATGTACTAGTACATGCATTCCATTAAAAAAAACAACAAGAAGAATGGTGTCATTCATGAGCCACAATGTCAAGATGTCAAGCTCCAAAGAGTTATCTTAAACAAATCAGACTGTGAGACACTGTACCAAACTATCTTTTAAATGGAAAGTTTTCACCAAGTGGAATACTAAATAAGGATTTGGACACTGAATACACATGGGAAGTTTTAAATGCAGCCACAATTAGATGTTTTAACACCAAAGTTTCGCTACCTTTAGTTTATACATCTGCAAATCTCCTATGTACGATTCACAAAGATCAGCATGTTTTATGACTCGTGTCTTTTACTTTCACTTCTTAAATTTTTTGTCTTCAGTTCTTCACTTCATGAGTTCACTTTAGTTTCTGTACTAAATTCACAATAAGTTGACTAACTAGTCAATTTGCCTTTCTTTTCATTTTATGACTCGCGTCTTTTACTTTCACTTCTTAAATCTTTTGTCTTCAGTTCTTCACTTCATGAGTTCACTTTAGTTTCTGTACTAAATTCACAATAAGTTGACTAACTAGTCAATTTGCCTTTCTTTTCATTTTTTCCCCTTTTTTATGAATTTTATAAAGCGCATTGGGATTTTTAAATCATAATTATTTATAATCATTATTCTTCCTACTGTAATAAGCAAATGGATAAGGCTTATCAGGGTAAATTAACAGCAACATAGTGATATCTTAATATGGCCCACCAGACAGGAAGCAATATAAAACCTTTAACTCACCTCTCAGGCTCTGTAATTACACCCACCATGGGAGCTCAGTTCTAAATATTTAGCTTCCAAAAAATATCAAATTCAGTTCAGCTGAATAAAACACTGGCAAGAGGCACAGTGGTTAGAAACAGTATACTTTTTTCGACACATTATCACTACTTGAAACCTCGAGTTTATATAAAAACATACTGATTTATAATTAACAGTTACTAATGGGAGAGAATACTATTTAGTTGAAGTAAATATTATCAGATAACAAAAAAAGAGCTCACAGTGTGCATACTAGTACTTTCACAAAGGACTTAAATTTACCCTGTACTTATAACAGACAAAGGCAGGTAAATACTTTTTATTTATAGTACCAATGCACTGGACATTATATAAGGGTCCCATTTTTATATCCTATGTTAAACCAAGAAATATCCTTCCATCAAATCAATGGTAGATAGATGTATTGTTAAATATTGCTCACTCTGCATTGCAAAAGTATATTATCTTTAGCACTCGGCATAAAATATGTATTAATATTAATCTTGGATACATAAATCTGTCATTTTAATCAAACATAAATATGAGCAATGACAAATAACACCATGAAAGCATATCAAAAACAAAAATGATCTGACATTGCCAAGTTACATATTTCAAAATGAATTAAAAGAAGAGAATCATGTATTACTCTGGAGTGTAACATAACAGACCTGGATCAACATGGTGATTAGTAAAAACCAGTGACCATGACAGGTCACTGAACACAATTACATGCTAATTATACTATCCTTCAGGTAAACCCAAGCTTCTTTTTAAGTGATAGTAAAAGAATATGTAAATCCATACATTCACAGATACCTATTCAAAATCTGTTCCTCTAGCTCCTGGATTCCATAAATTGCCTTTATACTCAGCACTGAAATGCTTATTTTCAGTCACTGCAATGTATCAGTTTGTTAAAAATATTATTCTATTTTTCTACTGTCAGGCACATAATACATCATATTTTTTAATTTTTGTTTGGTACATACAAATTTCAATTACTCCTCATGCCATGAGTCTCCATGCTTGATCTCATATTTCAAGTTCTTTACCTTTTTTGAAAACTTTTGTTTTTAAGGCATACTATTTGCATTTGAAAATGTTGAATATATTCATATCCTGCAAAGCGACGTATCCTTCCCATGGCAGACCTTTAAAAAAGGATGAATCAATTTCAAAAAGGTTCTGGTGCTGATATTTATTCTGAAATGTGCAGAAAGGCATGGTAGTCTACACATCTGGCCAGACATTAAGAAATGATTTACTTAATAAGAAATGGTATAAAACATCAAATCCATGAGCAAAGATGGGTCAATCAATGATTAGTATTAATAGGAGAAAATTGCATGCTTTTTTCTCAAGGAAAATTAAATTTTGCTAGGAACACCTGGATAGGATACCTTAAACTTAAAAATAAATTTAAGTTAGACATTACTAATCAATCACAATAGTTGTATATGACCAACATATCTCTTAAATCAATGTCATAAACATGCTTTTTCTTTAGTTATCAGAACAAAATGAGGTTGCAAGAAATAATTCACTCCTAACGAAAATCTATTATCAATATGTGAGCATGCCACTCTTCTAGTTCATAATAAGCTTGGGCGAGTTAAATGCGGACGAAAAATTGTATGTAAACAAAATCTGACAGTTGTGTAAATTAATCTGAAAATAAACACGATAAGTGTCCCCGTTTATATTTAAGCCAATGTGATTTGCTAATACCTGGAAAGTTAAATACTACAAAAATTTTCCTTACACTTTTTTAGTAATGAAAAATTGTACTACTTTCAATTCATTCTTCTAAGCAAGAATAACTTAAGAAGCAAGCGGTGAGCGGTGACTAGTCTTAAAATATTTCGTGTTTTGCGTCAAAATTACTCTTGCACAGTTTTTCTAATTCAGTCCTTTTAATATACATTCAATCATATCATGAACAGTAAAACCTTCTTACGATTGATTTGTCAAAAAGAAACCGCATTTGACTACTTACGGATCTCGCAGCAATAAATAATATTACGGTGAACCAGGAAAGCACACCCCCGATAACTTTGGGCTCTTCCAATAGACATACAGTCTCCCCTGTGTATCTTTCATTTGATAAATGTAAAATAATATATCAGAAAAAGAAACAAATATTACTGATAAGTTTCCTATTGATTGGCAACTTTATATTTATCTTTTATAATAAATATCTACGTACGCAAATATGTAGCCAGCTTTTCTGGCAAATTTTCAACACTTACACACGGATAAAAAGTGTGACCTCTACCTGACCTACTTTATCTTAGTTGATTGTAAGTAGTTTCGTAGTCGCCTTTATTAGCAAGATTGCCTATTTCATATAATGCACGTGAATTACTGTATATTTTCTAGTGTTTACAATAAAATAATTGTTTTCTTTGATTTTTTGTTGAAAATAATAAATTAACTAAGATTAGGATTTTTATAAAACTACATTTAAAACGAGTGTGTAACTTTGAGTGGTACCAAAACAACAAAATTTCTTCTAATAATTTCACCAACATTTTGCAGTATGTGATGAAATAGTGAAGACGAGCTATTCATACAGAAAACATGAATGCAAGGTCACAGATATTTGAGTTGGTAAGTCTCTCTTGGTATAGAAACTGCTCTAGAGTGATACAGTGTAATCATATTAATATAGCCCTGACCCTAGTAAAAATAAGTTTAATTCCTTTGCCCAGACAAATACAACTACAGATCATAAGCAAAATCTGCACCAATTAAGCGGAAATGTGATTAACTGCATAGAAATGGTACCCTTAACTCAAATAGTTCAAAATGAAATCCATGACCGAGCAGTAGCAATGAGTGAATCATCATGAAATTGATTTTCATTTTGTTAGCATCAGTCTTGTTTTTAGAAAATACAGCGAATAAGATAATATTAATAATAATAATAATAATAATTATTATTATTTTGTAATTAATGAATACATAAATAAATAATAAGCATTGAGATTAATGTATGGGCATGCAGACACATACAAGTGATTGGTTTTTACAAGCAAATTTTGCCTGAACATTCTCAGGAAGTGCTTGATCACTAATTTCCTGATCTACTTGTCCAGGTGATCCTACTAGTAACCGTTATCAAAGTATTTATCGGAATCAGCCAGATGCAAGTTTTAGATTACTGAAAGCAACCTTATTATGTACATGTACATTTCACATTGTATTTTGTCAGAATATCAACACGAGTTATTTTTAAAGCCTAAATAAAACAAACTCAGTGAAAGAAGCTCAGCTTAAAGAAGAAATATAAATATGTTTTAATGTTGATTCTGGTAATTCAAGTCTTGATTCCAGTTGATTCCAGTAAATACCTTGATTCCGGTATTTAGTATGACAAGGTACTAGTACAGATATATGCTTTTTTTTTTTTTTTTTTTTTTTTTTTTTTTTTTTTTTTTTTTTTTTTTTTTTTTTTTTTTTTTTTTTTTTTTTTTTTTTTTTTTTTTTTGTTATTAAATTAGATGTATTTTCTATATTAACTTTCCATATTACAGTCTGTTGAAGGTCGGCAGATTGATGAAGTGGTAGCAAGTGAGTTACATTTTTGATAGGTTAAATAACTGCTTAATCACGTTAATTATTGTATTGCTGAGGTTCATGTTTTATACCATTTAGGAAAAGTGTAAATGAGAAGGAGGATATTTTTCTTTTAAATTGAATGTATTAAACTATGAAAACTTTTTCATATTATTGTTTAGTTAACATATGTTATAGTCATTTTGCATCTCTCTAGGTATATTCCACACAATACTCTTCCACAGAACATTGGGCAAGGTGAGGTTTATATAATTCTAATTTATAATGGTTACATCATTTTTTTTGTCTGTGACACCATACTTAAATGTATTCTTCTAAGTAATTAGTGTGTATAATATGTATTTTATTTCATGTGAGAATGTTTTGCAAATTATTATTTATAATTATGTACTATACTGTGCAAGTTTGTGGAAGATAAAAATGTCAGTCTTCAATCATGTAAGTAGGGGTGATGGCTTATGCGAACATTAAAATGTTGAAATGCATATTTGTGTCAATTGTTTTTATTTATTTGTTTATATTATTTTCTTATTTTAAAGTATAATTACTTGATGATAAAGTTATTTTATACTTTATATTATTAGTTCCGCTATAAAGCAGAGGGCAGTTATTCCATTGGTACAGTGGGAATGGTGGATGTAGACTGTGATTTTGTAGATTTTACATATGTGAGTATGGATGGAATTATATTTGAAGACAAAATATTTTGAAGTAGGATTTTTTTGCACAAACTTAATGAATTCCTAGTAATATCTCAACCACACAATAAGAACATTGCCCGCAGTCTTAGCATGTCAATAGGTGCCAGCGTGGTACAAGTCTCATCTCACGCCAAAAATCTGGGAGTTTATTTCGACAGTACATTGTCCATGAACAGGCAAATTTCTAACGTATCTAAAACATGTATGTTCAATATTAGAAACATTGGTTCCTTACGAAAACATTTAACTGACTCTACTACAGCAACAGTTATACATGCCCTGGTTACATCAAGACTTGATTTCTGCAACTCCCTTCTTTATGGAGCTCAGAGGAACAAATCAAACGGCTACAGCGTGTACAGAATATATCTGCTCACCTACTGACCCGCACTCCAAAAGACAACCACATTACTCCTGTTTTAATGATGTTGCACTGGCTCCCTGTCCGAGCACGCATTTTATTCAAACTTTTAACATTTGCACATGCAGCATTTTATAAACTTGCACTTTCTTATTTAAATGAGCTTGTTTTACACTACGTGCCATCAAGTGATCAGGTGATCACCTTCTTCTTAAGGCTTATAAGGCAAGATTAGTATCATACGGTGATAAAGCTTTTAAATTTGCAGCACCAAATAAATGGAATATTTTACCCATCAGTCTTAGATAAATTGTGGACCCTGGACATTTTAAAAAGGAACTAAAAACCCACCTTTTTAAACAATATTATCTTTAAATTCTTGAAAAAACACTTCTTAAGAAAAACTGTTCTTAGTCATAGTTTTAAATTTCCCCTTTTTTATCCATTTTATATATCCTTTTTTTTAATCTTTAATATTTTTCTATAATCATTTTTCTTTTTTTTTTCATCTCATAACCATTATCAATATTTTTCTTTTAATTTGAATTTTATAATTTTTGTAAAGTCTACTGAACACGTGTTGGATTTTAGACTATTAATAAATATCATTATTATTATTATTATTATTAAACCATAGCTTGCTGTTTTCTTCTATAAGGAAATTAAAAATAAAAAATAGGCAAATTTGAAATTAGAATTCTGCTTGGAATAGGTCCGTGCGGCTTCAAGTGAAATAGACCAAGCTATTAAGAGAGAAATGGCAGCATTCAGAGATGCTCTACGAAATAATGAGAATGCTACTAGTGGACAGGTAAGCTATTGCAGTGCACACTATCATGTCATGTCATAACATACCATGTCATTTCATATGACAATGCATCATAGAAAATAAGTTACGGGTATTCACAAAATATGAATAATAGGTGTAATGCGCAAAGATGCACAATTTAAGATTTTCCCATGTGCGTTTGTTTTTGACTAATTTTGAGAACAAACAGATTGCATCTTTTAAGGCTGTATATCACAAGCTAAGCTGAGTATGCATGTGGAGGCATATCTCATTTAAGACTGATATTTTAACATGAGATAGAACTCATATTTTTAAAACAATTTTTCCTTGGGTAAATGATCTTTTTCTCTGACTACTTAATTAACCTTTGTTCTTCCTTTCCTTACACATGGCAGAACTATGTAAAATAATTTTGAAAAATTTTAATGTCCTACACTCTTGCTTAACCATGGGTTTTTCATATTCCGCCTTTTGAATCCCAACTCAAACTGCGCTGTATAGTAAAGGTGTTGTCATTTCTTTAAAAATTGTCTCATGGTCAAAGTACTAGTAATTGTTGCATGTATAGATACCTAACAGATTTCATTCTCTGTAGATTTCCTTAGAATTTTACCAGAAGAAGCGTGCCAGGTGGCCTTTCCCAGCTGAGTGCATACCTTGGGAGGTGTGGACCTTAAAACTGGACATAATTGGTCTGGCTAATGAACATGGTGAGTTATAGTTACCAATGAGATTCAAGTCTTATGGTTGCCAGCTTCTTTGTTTTCAATCCTCCATTCGCATAACCTTATCGACCTCTGACATTCAGCAATAAGTTTGATTGAAGTTAACCTCACCAATTTCAAATGCGCATCAATTTATCTGGATTTCTTGGTTCTGTGTGACACAGTTGACATAAATGATTGGTGCAGTGAATTTCAAAGAGCACTGAGATTAGTAATCGAAATGTGACAAATGAGCATGCATTGATTTTAAAAATGAAGAAGCTGGCTTAAAACTCAGGCTAGGGAGTATGTAAGACAAACCTTAATGTAAAAAGTGCCTGAAGACTCTATTGCAGTTTGGCCACCTGTTACAAACTCACTCACAAATTGACAATTATGAAGTTAAGAAATTGCTAATTATGAATCACTTAAAAAAGAGATGTGTATCATTTACACACATTTTGAAATTTGCAGGAGGAAAGCATACCAATTTTTTAAATTC